CAGTGAAGATATATTTCTTGACTTTCTCATCAAATTTCTCTCAATGCTGTGAATGAATATGAGAATGAATATGGCATCCAAAGCTTTTAAGAAAATTATCTGGGCCTTCTATCCATGGCATGCTTCATACAGTGTTCGCTTTTGAACTAGTTCAGAATATGGACAGTTGTATCAATATCTTCACCCCAGAAACTACTCTGGAATCATTTGTATTTGAACTTTTTTAAAATAAAAAAAAATCATCTGTCTTTGAACATATTGCATATCATCTCAACAATCATATGATTTTTGCATTATGTCTCTCTATTTTGTTATGGTATAAATCATAAAGTAAATTGTTGCTTTATTCCTTCTTGTATACAATGACTCAAAAGCTCTATTGATATAAATTCACCATCTCAATCTGTTCTCAGAATATTTAAATGTTTTCCACTCTCATTTTCATTCTCAGCTTTAAATGTAAAATTTTAAAAAGCTCTTGATTTCTGCTTCAGATGATAGATCCACATCATTTTGGTAAAATCATCAACAAACAGGAGTAAATATTTGTTTTGTTCAACAATGGTGCTGCCATAAATATCAACATGTACTAACTCAAGTGGAGCTTTGCCTCTCAAGGATGCCTTATGAAATGGGAGGCAGTACATTTTGCCATCAATACATCATTTACAAACTTCTTTCTCTTCCAAAATCTTGAGTAACCTAATAACCATATTTTTATCCTTAAAAGAACTTCAAGCCTCTATAGTCTAAATTTTCATAACATAGATGCGGGAAATATGATTTATCATTCGTTTGGACTTGAATAACACATTTTTCATTTAATGGCACAAATACTAGAAACTTTTTATTAGAACTCTTTCCCACTTTTGCCACTATCATATTTGTCTTCTTACCAATAATTATGCAATTGTCGTAATCAAAATCAATTTATATCCTTCTTCGAAGTAGTTGCTCCAACTACACGAGTATCTCCTTGTTTTTTCATTACATGTTTATTGCATCCACATATCAAATGTCATTTTTTTTCCCGTTGAATGGTCATGCATGAAAACATAACTTCTTGACATGGATTTTCGTTTTTTATCCGAATAACTTGCATGACTCTATGACTCATTTTTGAACCAACACTTTCTGTAAGAGTAATTAGGATTTTTCATCTTTACATCTGAATCTGCATTTTCTAGTACTGTAACCATATTTTATTATAAATACAGCATTAAGATTCAACATTAATTTTGAAATTCTTTTGCCAGGAATTTATTTTCTACCTCTTCTTTGGGCCACGAAATTTCCTCCACATCCACTGTGGTGAGCACTAGACGTTCCTTGATTGAGACTTTTTCATCTTCTTGATCCGCTTCTTGATTTATTGATCTTGAAATGTCCACATTGATTGAAATGTTCGTTCAACATTTCGTGTGAATAATCTTTTTCATTCTTATTTCATGAGCTTCCAATGAATCAATTAACTCATTCGATGTGAGCCTTGATAAATCTTTGAACATTTCAACTGCAGCCACAATATGCATGGACTTTGTTGATAGGCTTCCATGTTTTTTTCGAAAACTTTTTTGCCTTCTAGCATATCTCCACAGTTTGGGATAACACCAACTATTGAAGAAATTATAAGAAATAATTTTTATAGATTTTCATTACTTTTCATGAATCAATCGTCAAATTTTTGCCATAAACTTTAAAGTCTAAAGGAGATAACTTTTTTCATGATCTCCAAACTGCTGCTTCGAAGTTGAAGATGTTGACGAGAAGAGTGAAAATGAAGCAAGTCAAGAAGATAAAGAAAAAAGTCCCAATCCAGGAACATCAAGGACACATGCTAGACGACATGGAGGAAATTTTACGGCCAGAGGAAGAGGAAGAAAAATAAATTCCTACCAAATGGATTTCAAAGGTAATGCTGAATACTCACGGTACTAGAGAAGTGCATAATCAAACATTGAAAATGCAGAAATCCTAATAACTTTTATAGATTGTTGGTTCAAATATGAGCCACAGAGTGATGCAAACCATTATGATGAAAAATGAAAATATATAACAGTAAGTGATATTTTCATGCATGAACGCTAAAAAAAAAAACAATGATATATGATACGTTGATAGTGAATGCAGTAACCTCATGACAAAAAGCATAAAGATGTTCATGCAACTGAACAAATCGTTTAAGTATAAAGTCAAGCTTGGAGACGCAAAGTCGCATAAATTTATGGTAAAATCATTCAAGTCAGCTTTTTCACCAAATTTATGGCAAAATGCATGACCTCCCATTTCCTAGAATATCCTAGAGAGCCAAAGCTTCTCTCGAGTTAGTACATATTGATATTACGTGGTCCTCTAATCGTACCATCTTTGAACAACAACAAATTCTTTATCCTGTTCATTGATGATTTTACCCTAACGATGAGCATCTATCCTCTAAAGCAGAAATCAGAAGCTTTCTCTAAATTTCTACAATTTAAAGTCAATCTTGAAAAGGAGCGCGGAAAGCATTTGAAGATACTGAGAACATATTGAGGTACTCAATTCACATCAACAGAATTTTAGAATTACCGAGCAAAATAAGAAATAAAGCAATAACTTATAGTGCAGTTCACACCACAATAGAATAAAGTGGTAGAATGAAAAAAATCATATGACTGTTGAGATGCCGTGCAATGTGCTCAAAGACAAATGACTACCAAGCAGTTTCTTACATGAAGCTATTGATACTGTTGTTTATATTGTGAATCGGTCATCAACAAAAGCATTTCAAAATAGAACTCCATATGAAGTATGGCATGGATAAAAGTCATATATAAATTTTTCAAAAATCTTTAGATGCATTATTTATTCGCATATTCCTATACAGCATAGAGATAATCTTGATCAAAAGCTGAGAAGTATATATTCACCTATTACAACGATCAATCCATAATAAATCCAAAGACAAAAGAATTCAAAATCTCCTAACATGTTATCTTTGATTAGTTTGCATCTTCTAATTAGGAAGAAAGTTCTCCATAACAACAAATATTATTAATTTTCCAGTGCCAGCTCCAATCAGTGCAAGTTTAAGTTCTACTCCACTAGAATTCATTCAGACTCTGCGATGCCACCGAGAGGGGTACATTCTAAAAAAATTTATGGAACTTGTGATGTTTCATTTTTCACTTGTGAGCCACAGAATTTTGAATAAACAACAAAAGAAGAAATATAGTCCAAAGATATAGACAAAGAAATTGCAACAATTGAAAATAATCTCGCCTGGGATTTAGCAGATCAAACCTAAAGACAAATAAGTCATCTGACCAAACTAGATCTTCAAGAATCAAAAACAAAGAAAACAGCTCGATTCAGAAGCACAAGACACGATTAGTTGCTAAGATCTACACCTAGCAGCCTAGTGTTGATTCTGATGAACCATTTGCACTAGTTGCAAGTAGGAGACAATCAGAATATTTCTTGCTTTTGCAGCTCAGTTTGAACTGTCATTACTTCAATTGGATGTTAAATTCGCATTTCTCAATGGTGAATTGGAAGAAGAAGTCTACATAAAGCAGCCAGAAGGACATGTGGTGAAAGGACAAAGTAAAAAATTTTATTCGCTTAATAAAGGAGTGCAAGGTTTAAAGCAAATGCCGCTGCTTAGAATAGTAACATAGATTATTATTTCCTGTGCCATAGCTTATAGATAAGTCAAAGCGAACGTGTAGTGATGCAAAAAAGTCCAACAAAATAAAGGATGAATATTCATCTCTTAAGAAAAATAAGTTGACGATGCAAGCCAGTATCAACTCATCTGGCAACAAATGAAAAATTGAAACTGAATGATGTTGCGCCCAAAGCTGATGCAAGACTATATCGAAGCTTGTTTTTGGTTCATTGATTTACTTGACACCCATAATGCCAATTTGTTTTTTGAAATCACATAATGCCAAATATAATCTATTTGGTCAATTTAATTTCAAGATTTATGCAAAAGCAGAAATCACGGAAGATGCATGATGCAGCAGCAAGAGAATTCTATGACACTTGCAAGAAGCAGAAAAAAAAAAGGGTACTTACCATAAAAATGGTGGCCGAGAAGGTTCATTGATGACCAGAAAAGCACATCTAAATATTTATTCTGCATGAGCTCAAGGATAATTCTGTGGTCATCCAAAAAACAAAAAAAGATAATGCTTTCATCAGCAAAAGCTGAATATATAATCCCTACAAATGCATCATGGTGAGCAGTATGGCTAAGAAGAATTTTATCTTATCTGCAACAGAAAGAAGACAATCCTATAATTATTTATTGCGACAATATGGCTGCAATCGCCATGACCAAGAATCCAGCTTCCATAGTAGAACAAATACTCCATTTTCCACAGTAGAATGAAGACATTGAGCTATGATATTATTTTATTAGAAATCTTATCCAACAAAAAGAAATTCAGTTAAAGCATGAAAGCACCAAACAACCCATGCAGATATTTCTGACTAAAGTAATTACAACAAAGAAATTTAAAAATTTTAAATATATGTACAAATTAAATTAATATAGGGTGTTAAAAAAAAATTTTGAAATAAAAAGTATGAAAAGTATTATATATGTAATTTAAAATATATATGTTAATCAATTAAGGTCAATATATAATCCAAAAAAGACAGCAGCATGCATGTAATGAAGAGCCCCTTCTCCATTGACATCAAAGCTTCTTAACTGCCTCAATTTTTTGAGTCACCAATATCTATCCTTTCTACAACTTACCCCAAAAAACACATACTAAGCCTAATTTCCTACTCCAAATTCCCAACATTGCACAATTTTTATGAAGCTCAGTGCTCTTGTATCATTCATCTTCAAGCCTTTGTATTCCCTTTTTGTTTGTTATAGTTCATCCTGCTTGCTCTTCTAAACTAACTGGTCTAAAGCCTTCCTCAACAAAGTGCCAGATGTTATGGGAAATAAATAATGTTTTACTCATATTGCTCCAAAGATCAACTTTTCTCCGACAAAAATTGATATTCTTTGTTGTGAATAATTAAAAGACAGTTTATTACTGCTTGAAGCCATGGCTAATCTCTCTGGATATTTAGAAAGCTGTTGATTTTTATGAGGAACTTAAATAACGGGAGAAACATGGCTCTGATAACAAAATGCTGGAAATTTGGTGTTAAAAATTAGACTTGAAGTTGAATGCTTGTATTTTTGTTTTATTAAGTTGGAAAAAATATGGAATTTGGAGACCAAGGAAAAATTGAGGAAACTAACAAGCTATGGAGTTACTCTACAAGGAGCAAAGGGACGTCTGAAAGGTTCTTCATTACATGCATGCTGCTGTTTTTTTGTTCGGATATATGATATGCCTATATATACAAACACGTATATATAGCTTGACATATCTGCCTAAGCAACCGGCTAAGGCATTCACCGCCTCTCCATAACTTCCTCTTTTTTTTTTTCTTTTCCTCCTTATCAAACCTTCATTAATTATATTTTTCTCTAAGTTCCAGATTATTTTTTAACAAATCCTTCTGTAAATCAGTAAAGTATTATGCAATTCAGGGACATCCAAAACGAAATTCACATATTTCAGTTCATGAACTCTAATTACATATAATACCAAAATTCATCAGAAAGCACTTAAAGTAAGACATTTTACAGATCAATTGTAAACATGGAAAGATTTAATCCTCAAAATCAAACTGGCATAAAAAATAAGTAGACCATTCCAAATGTTCCATAAAAAAAAATCCAATCCAAACAAAAATGTGTTAGCTACAAGTGCCAATTAAACCCAAGAGTTTGCAAAGATTTTATCCAAAAACCAGTCCAAGCAAAAAAGCACCCCTGTTCTTCCTCATTTTAGTCTCTGTTATCAACAACCAACAATCATTACAGAAATATTACCCTAAAGAAGGAAGAGCAAATCACAAAAACAAAATACTGAAAGAAACATTAACCATGTTTTGAGGCCCAACACTATTCATATAAGAAGCTAGAAGTAGACAAGTAAAATGATAAACTAAATGTGTGTGTGTGTGTGTGTGTGTGTGTGTGTTCACAATTAGAAAAATGAAAGTGAAGAGAAAGAGAACGAAAGACAAAAAGGAAATGAAAAATACTAACAAAGAGCCAGAGCAACTCAAGTTCTAATCCTTCAATTCCTCAAAATCACCAAGCAAGTAGCAAATCAACACTCAAATAGAGAGAATCCAGTAACATTACCCCATTGAAGAATCATCCGAGAATTCGGTTATGGTGACTGCGAATGAATTTGGTCAGGTGGGTAAGAGTGAATCCAGTAAAAATACCCCCTTTCTCTTCTGTGCTTGATCTCTTGTTTCATGAACTTTTCAGTAGACCCAAACTTATGGCTATAACAAGTGTTTGCGGCTCACATGAAAGAAGCCCACTTGAGGAAATATAGCAAGCTTCCATTTACTTCAACAATAGTTGATCTGTCAGTTTTGACTAATTTACTGTATAGAAGTTTGGTTTTTTGAATAAAATCTAGAATTACTTTCAAAAAATAATGAAGAAAAAATAAAGAAAATGGATTTAGGGTTTTATTTTCTTTTAATTTATTTTATTTTTTTAATTATAATTTTCGGATAAAAATACCCTTGTTCTATTTAAACTAATGCATAAATTGGTTTGATGTAATAATGCATGATTCAATTGAAAGCGTACAATAATAATATTCGATGCAATTGTAATAGTACTCCTAAAAATAGAATAGAAGAACATCGGTATAGTTTCATCTTTTGGTCCGATCTATTTGTAATTCAATCATTTATTCTTTTTTTTAAAACGGTTTAATATTAAATTTAATTTTTGACATTTTATGTATAGTTTTCGGATTTTTAAGCCATGTATTCAATATTTTCTTTTTAATTTTGATTTAGTTGAGAAACTTAAACACATACAAATTTTGAATATAGTGCTATTTTTTTCTTCTTTCTTTGGTTTTTGCTCCCTATTTTTTGTTTATGTTTTCTGAATTTTGAATTTTCATTTCTTTTTAGGATTTTTTTTCCCTTCCTCTTTTGTACTTTTGTTTTTGTTTCACCATTACTTATAATGTATATTCTAATTTTTATTTTGTAACATCCAACATTAATTTTATTTTTTAATAAATATAATTATTTATTAATTGAATTTAATTTAAATTATTTTATTTTAATTTGATTTAATGAAATAATAATAATAAAGGTAAAAAATTAGTTAAGTATTTAATTGAAAACAATTTTGGGAAAAATTTGTGAAAATTTGAATTTTGAATGTATTTTTGAAAGAAAAATCAGAAACTAGGGTCAAAACGCAATTTAGAAATATTGCGTCACGTCAGATGCCCGGTCAGCAGCCCCGACCAACTAGGACACGCCAGGTGGCAGAGACACTGACGCGGGAGGTCACGCGGGGGGACCACGTGGACGATCCACGTGCGTGCGATCGAACGGCTGAGATCCGTTCCCGCATGCACAGACGACCCAGATTCAAAATGCACACGGACGGTCCAGATTGCATCACACACAGACGGTCCAAATTGGATCACGCACGGACGGCCCAGATTGAATCGCGATGAACGATCCAGATTCACTCCCTATTTAATCGTGATCGGATGGTTTAGATTAAAAGCTATGGACGGCCCAAATCAAAAGCAGATGGGTATAAATAACCTCATCCGCACCCAAACTCTAACCCTGGCCGCCAGAGCCCCTCGCCGGAGAAGACAACCCAGCCGCCGGGGAGTTGACCGCTGTCACCTGCCGCCACACCGGAGCAATTTTTGACCGCCAAACGAGGTAAAAATCTCCCCTCTTGCACGAAATTCAATTTTAAATCCACTCATGGCCAAATTGGAGTGAAAGAACCGGCCAATATACCGAAAAAAATATCGGCAAAGCTTGGCAGCACCGTCACGGGGTGTTTCGAAAAATGCCTCTGATGAGGCCTTTCCCGATTCCCATTCGATGTAATTTTTCCACCGTTGTGATCACTGTTTCCTTCTCTACAGGTTGATCGAAGCAAAACACCAAACCGCAACGTGAGCCGGAGGAGCCGCCCCCACCGCTGGTGAGTTTTAGTTTTCTACTTTTTTTTGGCCCACCGAGGGCCCTAAGTGTGTTTTCTTGCAGGAACCGATGCAATTTTGGCTGAATTCAGCCGAAACGGCAAAAAACAAACAACTCGAGGTAGGTCGCCGCTACGGGCGGCGTTGCCGTCGCCGGAGCACGGCGGAGCCGCCATGCCAGAATTCTGAAATTGGCCGAGTAGGCCTTGGATTTGATTTTTGTGTTATTTGAGACATGTGTAGATACTGTAAGCGCGTTTCAATTCCCGAAGGAAAATTCAGGGAACCCAAGGACCACCCGTAGGCACAGTAACCATTTAGTTTTCGGCGTCAAATCAGGTAAGGACCCCTCACCCTATTTCCTATCATAGACATGAAGTTTGAATAAATAATAATACGGTCCTTTGTACAAGTTAGATAAATATGCATAATTAATTATGGATTATTAATGGAGCCCAAAATCAGACATTATTTTCTGTTGATTCCTGTTGATTTATTTTATAGTTTAAATATATGATGGTATCTGGTTTATCTATTCTATGATTTTAAATGCATATATTATTGTATTACTTTACCACTGTGTGATTTTGGGATTTAAGATATGATTGTATTACCGGGTGCATATTCATTGTTTATGTGATCGTGTTTAATTTGGTAACGGAGATTAGGGATAAATAGGAAAGGGATGTAATCTAATAAACAGATAAGATGACAGCCTCATTAGATATCCTAGGAGATGGTGGACGAACTGGGTTCATAGGGAACCCTACCGTGAACGTTGTCTCAAACCGGACGGGGTATGGAGACTTGGTCATTTGGCACTCATACCGGACGGGGTATTGAGGTTTAATATCTTGGTACTCATACCGAACGGGGTATGAAGACGACCCTGGAATTAAAATTATTAAGAAAAATAGTTTACGTGTAGCGGAGACACCCCTATGGATCTCCATGGATACTAGTAGGCTGGTGAATCGAGAAACGGTGATGATTAGTTATTATTGATGAATATAAATTTATGATATGTTCTATATTACGGATTGTGCATGAAGTTATGATCTGTATGATGTTATTGTCTTTATAGGTTGTTTTCACAGATTCCCCAATGGTAAGTAAAAGAAAAAATAGTTTTATTTTTAATGAATGTATTGGTTTAAAATTTGTGCTCCATTGGTTGTTTTTGGTTTTCTACCAACCTTTACTTCTGTGCCAGCGATATAGTGTGATGTCTTTATTGGGTTAGTGTAGCTC